CTATGTAGCTATATGCTATTGTCTAAGCTTTCTACAACCACTCTCTCAATAGCTGTGTATCATCTTCATACATATCTGCAATACATTCTCTCTATCTTCACCACTTATTCTTATCTTACTTTAATTATTTTGTGTATCTATCTGTCTATATAGTTTTCTTTCTAATAAAACTGATAGTTTTGTGTTTTATTTTTCTGTTCAGTATTTATTGAGCAAGGTTTTTCCTCCTGTCTAGGAGCTTCCTTCATCCTTACTGTTAAGTAATAATAAAAAGGTTTTGAAATAGTTGAATGTACAAATGGTAGCATACATGAGCAATGTGTATATTTCTTTGAAAAAATATTGGGATACTGTGATATTCAGATTGTTAACAATATAGGAACACTTATAAGAATAAGTATCTCTAAACTTATTGTATACATGTAGGTTTACATATAAAACAGTTGATTTTGAATATACAATACTCTTTGGATTTTACTTTATATATTAACAGTGTTTGACCAAAAACTGGTCATAGATTATAAAATGATTTGGTACATTGTTTGAGGATGTTTATAGCTGTAATTCTTCTAGAAATCTTTATGTTGATTAGTGGGATCCATGTCATGTTTAATGGAACTTAATCCCAGTTTTGATTTAGACCTTCACCTGTGTCATATTAGGGAGATTTAATTGTGATATGTCCTTTGACTTTTGATTGAGTGCCTGTGCCTTTTTCTTCTGCACAATATCCACAAAGAATACAATAGTCACATTCCTAGACTTTATAGTTGATCCGTAGCACTTAGTCCAACACCTATTTGGTATTCCTTGGTTCACACTTATACTAATCATTTGGTAAATGTACAGGTATATGCAGTTTTTCTGTCTTTATGTAACTATATAGCAACTTACTATCCTTCTGGAATAGTCTGTTTATAGCTATGTGCCATTTTCCAGTCTTTTTTTTTTTAACTGTTCTCACTGCAGTTACATTCCACCTATATAATTATTTTTATACAATAACATATTATTTTAAAACATCTATTTATATATACACTCTATTCTACGTTTTTGGTGTCATCTCACTATATTTATATTCTATATTTCTAAATTTTTATACTTTGTTTCTGTGTACTATCTTCTTTACTAAGTTTGATTAACTATAGAACATTTTTTACCTTTTTGTCACACTAGTTTTTCTATAACTGTTTAATATGTATATACTTTCTGTTTTAGATTCATCCTCTTTGTATTTATGAATAATACTTCTTGAATTTGTTAGCCTTACTTTTTAAATACATAATATCAAAATACCTACTGTTCTGTAGTAAGCTTCTCTTTAGGTAACACATACTTTTTAAGTTAGTTCTGTAAAACATAGATACCACTTATCTATCTTATTTTGTGAAACCATTATCTCTATAGTTACATTTTAACTTACATTTTCTAATCACTTAATTCATAGCTTGATACTATCTATTTGACTTTGTTGAACAAGTATTTTAATTACTAAACATCTTTTATTTTTCCAACTGTAATTAGTTTTTCTATACCATGTACTTACTTTTGTAACCACTTTTCATAAATGCTTTCAATCACATTTTTCTGTAACCAATATTTTTATAGCTACATATAATTTAACCTTTTTGTCAAACTTACCTATAGCTACACACCATATATCTACTTTCTTGTAAGAAGTTTTGCCATAGCTTTTTACCACCCACTTACCTTTTAGTCTAAACATTCTTTGAGTTTCTTGTTCTTTCCTCAGACTTACTGCTGAGCCACTGGAGGGTCTGAACAAATGAGCACAGTGCTATTGATAATATTAATAGATAAAAATGTAATTATGACTAATAGGAGGCAGCTGTATCAGTTCTGAAAATATATTTGTGTTTCTTTAGTTTGAGAGCCCAGTATGGTACAGATGATATAAGGAATGCAGTTCATGGCAGTGCAGATGAACATGCTGTCTTAAGGTACGATTGTTACAAGATTTCTTTATTTCAAAAACAGAAGAGTTTTATTATTGAAATTATTTATCTACACAGTTTTCTATTCATATATTTGGCTTTTTTACACATTTAGTATTTTTTCATAATTTTAATCTATACAAATAGCTGTGGTAATGCTGTTTGTGTAATCTATAACACATTTGTCTATGAAGATTTGTGTTCTCTAAAATTTTATTTTTTTAAATTATACCATAGCTATTTCCCTAGGGAAAATTACATTTCTCAATGATATGTATTTGTACAAGAATATAATATCTTTTGTTTTCTTCCATCAAGGGAAGTTTCCCTGCTGTTTCCAACTTTTCTAAATCAACAGGAACTTGCTAAAGATTCTTCTAAGGAACCAACCCAAGATGAAAGACAGATGCCAAGTGAAGGTATAACAACAGAACCTTATGAAGGTGATGGTAAGCAAATGTGTTCCCTGAAAAACCAGACTAAAGCTACTAAACAAAAGAATAAAAAAACTTTTGAGAAGTTCTCAGATAAAGAACCTTTAACCCAGATACAGAAAGACAAGGAACTGGAGCTGAAACAGAGGTTTGATGCATCAAATAGTAGTCTTTCTGAGGACAAATCAGAAGAAAAACTTTACCCTATTTCAAACAAAGGAGGAAAAAACAGACGTTTATCTCTAACAGGCCAGAATGCTGCATCATCTACTAAAGCAAAAGAACATAAAAATATAAAAAGGTGGCTTTCTCTCACATCTCATAAAGGCCTTACAAAACCTTCCAACTGCTAAGAATACATTTAGAGAACACATGTATCAAATTACAGATGTATCAGACAAGAAAATTTTGAAAAAGTTCTACTTTTGATCATTTAAATGGAATACAAATAAACACACCAATAGATAGGTGGTTGGATAATTTGCTAAAGATCTGTTAACTAAAATTGTCTTTTTTGTTTTTTTTCTTTTGTATTCTTCTGATGTCATCCATCAAATCATGTTTATTATTCATCTATATCACAGCTTACTAAAGGCTCCTACACCTGTAGTCAAGAATTTAGGCTTTCAGTAGAGGGCACAGATTAGTGAAGTGTTCGTACCAACTACACACCATTTTCTTAGAATTGTCTATGAATAATTTAATGTATAAGTTTCACAGGTTCTGTTTAAAAAAAAAAAGAAGAGCTCTTTCTGTTGCACCAACTTAGGTGCCTTTTGTACCACTTAATACAGAACATTTCCATGCATGAATGAGTTGACATGTAGAGATTGAGTACTTTTCTCTCTGCAGACTAAATACTAGATTCTCAGGCACCATGAGAATAGAAAAGTATGCTGTATGGCATTCTGAGTGGCACACAAAAAACAACTTGTAGCTATTGGTTTACATTTGAGTTGTTGCAACAAAAGCTTTTCTGAACTTGCTGATTATAGAGTATGGAATCATCTTTGCCATTACTTGGTTTGTCAACAACTTCAAAAGCTGTCAATTTCTCTCTTGGCTATTGATGACATTGTAGTGTACGTCATTTTTATTTTCAAACCTTATAAAAAATAACTATATTTTGCCTATTTTTCTTGTTACACCCTTTAACTTGAAAGTTGGCTTTCCTGAGATGACTTCATACTGTAAGGCAAGACAAAGTTTTTATTCCATACTTTTGCATTAACACAATATTTTATTTTCTCTGACATAAGACCTTTGATTAACTTTTGTATTCTAAAGAAATGTGATTTGGTTAGAAGGAAACTAAAACTTTGTTGGAGAACAGTCACAGCGATGCGTGTTACTCTCGACAGGCTTTAATTTAGCTTGACTGCTCATACAATATTTCATGACTCTACTAACACAAAATAGAAATAAACAGAAATATAAAAATAAATACACACTAGAATGGACAAAAATAATAAAAAATATTGTTGTTCATTACTTTTAGCACAAGTCACAATTAGTACATGACTGTGGGAGATATTATATTACTCACAGATGTTCTTTATCTCTCAAGTTTACTAAATATGTATAAACTCACTTATGCAAGCTTCATTTTTGCTTCTTTTAGAATATGTTTTATTTGAGTTTCTCACGTAAAATTATACCTAAAGAATCTCCTTGGAAATACATATATAAACATGTTATGTTCACCAGAAGTAATGAACGTAGTATATCCAACAGTGTCAATGGTGTTCTAGGCATACTATCCATAGTTAAAATCTTGTCAACCTCCAATATCTAAGTCCTCAATTTATCATCATGCACTGTTTATAACACTCATAACTGAGTGAGATATGAAAGTATTTTAACAATTATTTAAAACTGATACTTGGAAAGCAAGGGTTGCAACTTTGTTTTGTTTTTACAATCACCTTAGCTGTAGTAACTTACATCTCACTTCCAGCCACAGCAACTGTGAGGTCACTATTACTATTGTGGTCTTACATCGGAGTGCATTACTCACTTGAGCAATGTTTCCTCTTCCCCAGACTTTTTTGGAAAACGTTAAGGAAGGTTTGATATTGTTTTCTTCTTGTTCTTCGGCTGAATCAAAGTAGCATCTGATGGTGCCCTCATCATTATCTGCTGCTTTGGCTTGTTCAATTGGTCAAGCCAGTGTTTCAGGCACTTGTCATCAATGAATCTCATAGTTTTATGGATTGAGGTTCTGTCCAACTGGAAGTCAGTGGTTTGTGTGTTTCTGGAGTATATTATACCCATGATAAGTTTCCGTATTTAAATTGATGTTATTTCACTGTTTTATTATATGTTGTCTTCTATTTTTCAGCTTTTCTACAAAACATATTAATGTTTGTAGAACAGTTAGTGTACTGTTGCATGACATGCCATCCTTACATATGACAGATGATCATCCTGTTAAGTTTTATTTGAAAGCCCGTGTTGTACAGTTTGAAAGACTGGCTCAGCCAAATTGCCAAACTGAAGATGATAACGTAAAGGTAGAGTCTTCAATACAGTCAATACCTCACACAACTACAAAAAGCTGATAGTTGAAATTTGCTGCTTGATAAATATGGATCTCCTCTGATGTTGTGAAGAAAGTTATCAATTGTTTATCAAATTTATCAGCAACTGTTTGAGCCAATGTATTAGCCAGAATATATATTTCAACCCTCTTACTGAAGCAATCAGTTACCAGCAGGATGTAATGATTATCATGATAAGTCATTATTCAAGACCGTTCTCTGTGATGGAGAACCTACAACTCAACAAGCATAAGAATTACCAAATTGTCCACAGTTTAGCAAGCATCTCTCCTTCCTTGTTCTCTTTCCATAGATCAAGATGTCTCCCCACTGTTACAGCTGGAGCACTAGGTTCAGGATATCTTTGCCACTCCACTGGTAGCCAATCATGCTGAACTAACTTACCATACTGTATCTGTGTTGTAGTGCATATCTGTAATGATCTCCTATAAAGTTGCTAAAACTATCATTGCAGGTTTTTCTGTTCTGGTCATTTAGTTGAACTTGCTACCTCATTCCTTGTTGTTTCACACAGCCTCATATCTAATGCCCAACTGGTGTTTCAACCTCTAAGGAGACACTCTACAAACTTATTGACAAAATGTCTTAGTTGGCTGCCACTGTGCTGGGTTATGTTTTATAATGTAAGCATTGTAGCTTCTCAGCAAACACAACATAGTACCTGTGAGTACTACACTTACAATCTATGGATTATGCCTGATAGATGGTTCTGTCTTCTAGTGGGTCAAAGAAATGAGACATCTATGTACAATGGATTCCAAACTGCAAAGTTCATTGGAATCCAGATTCCCCACATCATCTAAACTAAGCATCAGGTGCCATGTTGTCTGATCATTATCCAGGAATTACAAGCAGCTGCCTGACAAAATTGCTTAAGAAAGTAATCTAAATCTTCTATTACTGAACTCCTGAAAGAAGTTGATGATATTTGCATTCACTTACTACTTCCTTTCAGCTGTACCAAGGGTTTTCTTCCATCATTAGTGTAATTTGGCATGACTGACTGAATCTGGAATAAACAAAGGATTTGACTTTTCTCTTGCACCTGGAATCCTCTCACTTGTGTTTACTTAAGCAATGTGTTGCCATATCAATGGTATTATTGTTTAAGACTGTTCAAACATGTAGTTCTTGTTAGCATGTGGTGCTAACACTCTTTTCATGAGAAGGCTCCTGGCTGATCTAGGGTAGATTATGTAAAGGACAAGATGGTGGTTAGGGTCAGTTAGCAAACACTGCCCACCAATTCCATCTGGTTTCTAGCTACTTCCAAGGAATTCACCTAGCATAGGGGCTCAAGAGTGCTGTATAATGACTTGCATGACTTACTGTGCAAACTACTGTGGGAGTTCCAGTGTATCTGCAGTTAGTTACCTCTTCTCTTTAACTTTCCATCATTGTCCTTGGGCTTAGCTGATCTGCATGAAAATTACTACCATTATCAGATATTTGAGTGGACCAAGCCATGATACAGTTAATGTGATAAATTAAAAGAGCATAAAATTCTGGAATGCTTGCAAAAGTGCTGGGGAGCACTCAAAGTTAAATATAATACTCCTCCAAGGCAGTGGTTGAGGTCCTCTGATTTCACCCTTAGGTTAGCTCAGTTCTCCTCCTCTCTGCTATAAATATTACCCGATTGTAGAGAAATCTCTTCAATGGTGCTTCACTAGAAGAAATAGTTTGGAGGAATCAAAGACACAAATCAACTACTCAATAACTAGATCTTGGTCAAAGGAGGACACAAAAATGTTCTCTTGGTCAAAGTAAACTGTGGTATTCCAAGATTAACCAATTACACAGTAATCTGATCTTCACAATAACTGATATGTTACAGGTTGGAAGAAAGAGACAAAGGTTGGTGTGTAGATGAATAAAATAAACACAACTAGTTAAGACGGGAAGAAGATGAACTTGAATACAGCTGATCATCAGGTGGAAAGATAAAACTGTATACACACAATCAATAGACTTCATAATAAGAAAAGTATTAAGTACACCTAAGACTTCAACAGTGAGTTCTGTTTCTTGTGGGGCAGAAATAAATCTGGTTGAAAGCCCCCAAATTATTGTCACATTTCATATTCTCTTCATAGCCAACTAATTTGGAAATTGGATCAGAAGTATCCAGAAATATCTCTGCTCCACAGTGACTGCCCTATAGTAGTCCCATATATACAGTGTAGGACACAATATATCAATAAAACAGTGGATAGCTTCTATGAGTGGATCTTGCTAAAGAAAGTTGCATATGGAGCTGAAATGAAAAATGACTTCAATCAAATTTAACATGTTCTAAATTAGAGCTATAGAAAAAATTAAAAAAATTTGTAAACCTGACACATATTCTGTAGAAGAATGAGGACATGTGGTATTTACATACAACATAGCATATATTCTGTAGAAGAATGAGGACATGTGGTATTTACATACAACATAGCATATATTCTGTAG